ATTAATTACGAACTTAATAAAAATAAAATTAGAAAAAGAATTAATATGCGATTAAGTTTTGCGTATTATGGTTCATCTACTACTCGCATATTTTAATGACTCGCATTTTACGAAGGAAACCTGTCATTTGAATAATTCTTTCCGCATGCCTTGGAATATCTCGTATCAATAAATACTACATTAATGATTATGAGACAACTTGAAACGTTTGAACCATTATAAATACTACATGAATGAAGTCCACATCCCTACCACTATGTATAACAAAAAAAAAATGTATTTTGTGTACCTTCGCATACCGATCGCAAGTTCATGTTATTAATTTTATGGTTATCATCTTTGATCAGCGTATACTCTATCAGTTCAAACAAGTCGTCACCCCTATCATTTTTCATCAATGTCCTCCATTTGTTGATCTCGGCTCGGCCCACGATCCTCTACCTCATTCCTTTGGGAATTTCCATTCTTATAAACTATGGGAATTCAAGATGTTGAAAACCTCCTTCACGTGGTTCTGGTACAACGTTTTCGAGAGGACAACGTAGGTCGATATAAACCATTAAGGTCAGTCGATACCACAAGTTGCCTTCGCAACTGGCAAAAAATGTCAGATCTGTAAAAATAATAACTCATTTGTGCACTGATGCTCCTCGGGAAGCTCTGCAAAATGTAATTCCAGGAGCCATCAGCATAAAAGACAAAATTACGGCTCTGATGTTCGCCGATATGTTCAAAAATACTCCCATTGCGTTAGTACGCCCGCCCGCCCGCCAGCGAAGCCCAGCGACCCCGTCCACCCACACGCGAGTCACGCACCATGCCAATCCCTGATTGACATAACTGTTCACACAATTTTCTGCATAGTCGAAGCTTATTTTATCGTATAATTTTACGCACGTCATTAATTAACTTTGCCTGTAATTCGCATATTTGATCGTATAATGAAATCGCATTTGCTCAATTATATTCGGTTCTCTGTAGCATAGTAGATTATCGCATAGTGCGATCACACTTGCATGATTATCTTCGTCTGTCTTTCACGTAGTTTATTGCATATTTATTTCTCAGCTTATCAATTAACTTCTTATGTCTGTCGCATAATTTATCGCATAATGATATCTCTTTTCTCGATTAGTTTCCTCTGTCTATCGCATAAGTAATTCGTATTTGCTCCATTAACTCCTCATGTCTGTTACATATTTTATCCGTAATTTTTTTCGCACTTGCTCAATGAACTTCGCCTGTGTGTCGCATGGTTAATTGCATAATTTATTCGCTCTTTCTCATTTAATTTTGCCTCTCTGTTGCATGCTTTATCGCATAATTTGTTTTGCAGTTCACTCAGTGAACTTCTCTTGTATGTCGCACATCATATCGTATAAATATTTCGCACTTTATAAATTTTCTTCACATGTCCGTCGCATAGTTTATCACATAATTTTTTCGTAATTTATCAATTATGTTCGCTTGTTTGTCGCATAGGTTATCGCATAACTATTTCATACTTTATCAATTATCTTCGCCTGTCCGTCGCATAACTTTTTGCATAAATTATCTTTGCCTGATTGTTGCGTAGCTTATCGAATAATTGTTATGCACTTTATAAATTAAGTTCGCCTGTTTGCCCATAATATATTGCATAACATTTTAGCACTCTATCAATTATCTTCGTTTGTCTCTCACAATACTTTTCGCATAAATATTTCGCACTATCAGTTATCTTCGCCTATCTGTCACATATCTTTTCACATAACTATTTTGCTATTGATCAATTATCTTCGCCTATATGTCATATAGTTTTTTGCATACATTGTCTTCCCCTGATTGTTGCATATTTTACTGCATAATTATTTGACACTTTGTAAATTATCATCGTCTGGTTGTCGCATAATGTTTTCGCACTCTATCAATTATCTTCGCATGTCTGTTGCATAAATATTTTGCACTCTATCAGTTATCGTCACCTTTCTGTCGCATAGGTTTTCGCTTAACTATTTAGCACTTTATCAATTATCTTCCTATGTCTGTAGCATATCGTTTCGCATAAATATTTCGTAGTTTATCAAGTGTTTTCTCCTGTCTTTCGTATGTCATTTCACATAAATATTTTGCACTTTATCACTTATTTTCGCATATCTGTTGCATAGCTTTTCGCATAATGTTTTCGCACTTTATCAATTGTCATTGCCTGCCTGTCGCATATCATTTAGCATAAATATATCACACTCTTATCAATTATCTTCGACTATCTGTCGCATATCTTTTCACATAATGTTTTCGCATTTTATCTATTATATTTGTCTGTTTGTCGCCTAGTTTTTCGCATCTATTGCCTTTGTCTGTCTGTCGCATATTTTATCGCACTTATCAATTATGTTCGCCTGTTTGTCGCATTGTTATCACATGAATATTTACACTTTATCAATTATCTAGTATCATAGATTTTCACATAATAGTTCGCACTTTATCAATTATGTTATCCTATTTGTCGCATAGCGTATCGCATAACTAATTCGCACATTATCAATTATCTTCGGTGTGTCACATAGTTTTTTGCATAATTGTTTTTCACTTTATCAATTATGTTCGCTTGCTTCTTGCATAGTCTATCGAATAACAGTTTCGCAGTTTATCAGTTATTTTCGTCTGTATGTTGCATAGTGTATCCCGTAATTGTTTCGTACTTTATCATTTATCTTCGCCGGTCTGTCGCATAGCTTATCTAATTTATTTCAAATTTCACGAGGTGAAAAAGTTAACTTTTTATTTGATGGTGTGTAATACTTATTGTTTTCCTAGAACAGGGTGAAAATAGCTATTTCCTCTGATTTATGTTATAAAATAAGACAATGATTCATAAAAATTTGAACAAAAGCTAGCACGATTGGTCAAACTAAAATCAAATTTTCTAGAAAAAAAAATTATAAACAAATTTGTACTGAAGAAGATTGTATATCAAGGTAAGCACAAGGTAGTGAACAATTTAAAAAATCACACTCAAAGTCTCAGGTGCCCCGAAAGCTCCTGCGCATGATCTAGCTTTACTTATACTCTGAAGCAAAGATTTGAACTTTGAGGATATCAAGTAAAGATTGTCGAGTAATAAGGAAAGAAGGCACACATCATTAGGAATTGGAAGCTCAGTCACCTCCAAATTTCAAAGTCCCTTCAGATGAGATCATGCACTGAAGTTGTTCGATAAAATGCCATAAAAAGCTAATAAGTGATTATTCAAATTCATCCACTCCTCATAGTGTAATATCTCATTCTGTTATTAATAAAAGTAATTATTTTAGTTCTAAGTTTGAACTATTTTACTTTTATTAATAATGCTCGTTTCTAGTCCGAGCCCAATTATTAAGTTATTAATTAAGTTCAAAGTTCGACTTTAAGTCGAAAGTATTCTCGGTTAAATTCCATTTAGTAATCGAGTCAGCTCAGTCATTAATTAATTTCGGTCCGTTTATTTTGTAAATGGATTTTACAAGACGGGATTAATTATTCTAAAATGATGAATAATCGAAATAGAGTATATATCGATAAATCGTTCAAGTTAAGTCGAGACTCGAACCAAGTATGTTCGGTCACGAGCAGTGCCAAGTTTCTTGTGCCAAAGTTATAAACAAGTTTCATAGAATTTTATATGTATCAAATCCTTAGCATGCCTTAGTATTTTATTAGTTTGAGTTGAGAATTTTCAGCCATAAAATAACTAAGTTTCAGTCTCATAAGAATCCATATGCTAAGTATTATATGAGTCCATCCACTCGTGCCAGTCCAAGCCAAGACGCGCTAGCATGTGCCGCGCCAGAATTTCAGCGCAAGTCCCATGCACGAGCCAATATTTTAATTTAAGGACCATGTTTTCTCAAGACCTATCATGTGCGGAAAATGTCAGGTGGGTTTTAATAAAAAAATTGCTATGCAATAAATTTTGTGCCTTACGTGTGGTACGATTAATGTATGCATGTGAACTATGTAACCTTCGAGTGAGCTGTACCGGCCGTCGAACGGTTATTTCCGTACCTATAGAACGTACCTGTTGGGTGATCTCGATAGAAGTAGTCTATGCGTAGGTGTGCACACGAGTCTTGAGTTTATGACGATATTATGACGATCTTATGACGATATTATGATGGGAGATTGGGATAATAAATTGATTCTTATACATGCTGTGATCATACTGTTTTTTATTTTGAATATTGTTTATTGCATAGTGGTGAGCACTACGGTTTCCATTTGTGCTCACTCCCACCTGAAATTAACATTTTAGGTTGAGCATGGCGGGCATGACGGCGACAAGAAGCGAGTGGTAGTCGGTCTTTATGACCACAATATTATTTGTTGCTTCCGCTTTATCGAACTGGTTTATAATTTATGAATTTAATGAACTTGGAATATTATTGATTTTATGATGTGAAATTTTATGAAATTATGGATATTATGATAAGGTTGGGGAAATGCCCTTTGATAGTAATGATTTTATGGAAACCCGGTTTGGGTAATTGATGATTTGATGAAACCCGTTTTGGGAGTTTGATGATTGATATATTATGCATGAGTTGATGTTATGTCATGAAAATGATTTTGAAATAAATGAGTAACTCCAAAAATGTTTATGAAATCAGTTTCGAAAATTAAATCGATTTTCGTGAAAAACCATGGATTTTCGTTAAATCAATGTGGGGCGTTACACATAGGCTGCAACTTTCACCTTCTCTTACGACAACCTTCTCCCCACCAGGAGCTTCCGGGAACCCCCCGAACAGACAGTCGGCCGCCGCCGGCTAGTGGCGGTCCCCCAAACCCAAGCAATGTTCCGTGAATGGCCTCCCGGCGACTTGGAGTACCTCCTAAGCCTGCCGGCGGCCCAATTTTCCATCAGTCAGCAGCCTTTCTCTATTCCGACAACGGTCTGCTTGGTTGTGCATCTACCGTTGTCCCAGTAAATACTGCTTTGAGCTCTGAAGGTGCCATTTCCGCCGGATTTCCCCCGGCCAATGGTGCCACATGAAAAGCAATTCCTAGCGGCTCTCCCCGTTCACTCTCAAAAGCTGAAAAAACCCAGTCGGAAGTCACCAGATTTCTTTCAGTCAACATCGCCGGTTTCTTTTCCTTCTGTATTTGCTAGAGAATTAGGAGTTCCTATCATAATGCATGACTACTTAACAGGAGGATTCACTGCAAATACTAGCTTGGCTCATTATTGCCGAGATAATGGACTACTTCTTCACATTCACCGCGCAATGCATGCAGTTATTGATAGACAGAAGAACCATGCAACAAGCGAAAAGGTCTTGCAAGGGTTCAGGAACGTTTAGACAGGATTAGTGCGAATGCAGCTTGGAGACTACTCTTTTCTTTAGACGTATCCATGTTCCGCCGCGCCGGGTATACTGAGTTCAGATGGTGGCGACACACAATCCTCAGCGAGACCTAGTCTTGTACGCGCCTAATCCTTGGGCTCCTTTTCTTGGGCCGATAAGTCCTATTTTTCCTCCCTCTAGGCCTTCTTTATCAAAGCCCATTTGCCCCTTTTTTTGGGTCCAATTCACCCCTGCTCATCCAAGCCATCCCAAACCAAACCCAAGCCCGCTCAGCCCGTTCTCACTACAACTCCTCTCCCTACAACCTCTCCTTGCCAAGCTCGAACCGAAACCCAAACCCTTCAGTCCGGCCCGAATCCAACCCAGCCCGATTCAAACTCAGCCCAGCCTTTTCGGACCCGCCCAAACCCGACTCAACCCTCCCAATCAACCCATGTCTCCTCTAAAACCCAAACCGTCAGCCTTGAATCGGCAAAATCCTTTGTCTTGGTTGCCCAAAAAACAGTCCCACCCGAGCCCTTCTCATATTGCTCTATTTCTCTATCCAAAAACATCCCAGTGGTTCTTTTCTCTCCTCCAGAAGTCTCAAAAATGTCGGAGGATCTGTAATATGCCCTCATAAGTAAATTCTCCTCGGGAAGCCTTCCAATGAGCCTATTCGGTCGAACCTTGCTCTTTTGGGTTTCACTGGATGCAAATTTTTTTTCCTCTATGCTAATCACATCTTGATCAAAGTCGACGACCCAAACACGTCTACCGAACTTTGGTTGAAACGTGAAATTTCTATTTAAATTATCCAATACGGATTTTTAAATGGTCCGCCGATTTCGATTTCAAAAAAGAACCACCCACTGTTCTAGTTTGGATCAAAATCCCAGCTCTTCCCCTTCATTGCTTTGATTTAAAGGTTATTCGGACAATCGCCAACATTTTTGGCACCCTATTAAAAGTCGATGATGCCACATTAAAAAAAACTCGGCTCCAATATGCACGTTTTTGCGTAGCCCTCAATCTTGAATCCCCCCATCCCCACTAGTATTGTCGTTTTCTGTGGAAACAAATGCGTCGGACTCACCGTTGAGTTCGAACACTTATCAAAATATTGTTCCTATTGCTCTCATGTGGGACATGATGACTCAAGGTGTTACATAAAAAATCCGACAATTCGTCCTACCAAAATTAACAAGGGGAAAAAACCCCACATTGAACCATTTTTTCATATTTCTTCCCCTTCTTCTTCTCTTCCGATCCCCCCTCCCGCTAGCACTTCCAAACCCTCCTCTCTTGCCCTGGACCCTATTCCCTCAAACTCGACACCTCCTCTTGGCGAGGCTCCACCCAACCCCTCCTTACTAGGCTAGGTTCCTTCCCAGCCCAAATTCTTGGCCCCTCCACTTTCCCTGAAGCGGGACCAAGCAATGTGCCTGACTAGGTTCACCTAAGCCCCACTCAGTGATCGTTGAGCCTTGCTCTTTTGATTCTAAACCGAACTCTCCAGACCACTCTCGTCCCTTCTCCGAATTTGAAGATGATTTTACTGTCGCTCCAAACTGCATAAAAAACCAATCATTGTTCTCCCCTCCCCCTCTGTCCCGC